TTCGTCTCCTGCTGTTGGGTTATTGCTTTGGCTCGTACATCGAGTGAATTGTACCTGCCCTATTATTGTTTCGACTTTATAGTGTCCCGATTGTGACACTTTAGGTTAATAAATTGGGTCTAGATGGTGGTAGATGACAGAATAGCGTGGATTATGATCTGTGGTTTAGTTAGGGTGGAATGTTATCGAATTCGCTTATTTTTATTATAATATTACGTTTGTGCAGTGGCAAAAGTGAAGTGTGTTTGTCTTCCTTTGTTTTGGGTTACTAAATTAGGTCTACTAAATGGTGTTGATGACAAAATAGCGTGAATTATGATCTATGGTCTAGTTAGGGGTGAATTTATCTGTCTTCTTATTGTTTTGGGTTTATAGTATTCGGATTATGGCATTTTGGTTTACTAAATTAGGTCTAAATGGTGATAGATGGCAGAGTAGCTCGGATTACGATCTGTGCTCTAATTAGAGTGGAATATTGCGTAATTAGCTTGTAGTCATTAGAATATTACGTTAGTTTGCTGCTCGAGTGAATTGTATCTACCTTCCAGATGTTTTATAGTATTATAATTGGGGATCTTTAGATTGACAGATTAGGTTCGAATGGTGACCAATGACGAAATAATATAGATTGTAATCTATGATCTGTCTGGAATAAAATACCAAGAAAGCAGTCATGTAATATTTCCTATAATATTCCTTCAATTTTCCGCGAAATTAATCAAAGTAATGGGCGATTTAGAAATTTGAATAATTTATAAGAATCTAGTTTATTAGAGTGATGAATTGTGTAGGAGCAGTTCGGTGACAGAGTGACAGAGACTGTAATCTATAATCTACTTAGGGTAAGACCTTGCAAGAAAAATCTTTTGTGATCACTGATTTAATTTAATTTAATTTTGTCTAATAAGAATATTATCTCGATTTGAATCTCTTCTATCTTTATATACCATATTATATTTCTATTTTGTTGTATATTTATTTTGTTGAAAATATAGAGAAATAAATACATCTACTTAAGAATTTGAAGAGTTCATGTGAAATTCTCATAATGTATCAATTAGTCGTCTTCTAATCCCCTATCATGGTATACATAAGATTAAAAAACCCTCATTGAATATCCAGAAAATTATTAAAGCGTGGATCAAATGCATAAAAATTGGAAGATTAATTTCACCTATAATTCTTTACTCTTTCCCTTCGATTTTTGCATTATTACATTTTAATCGTACCCCTCCCGGGAAATCGCTGAAGAACAAGCGACATAAACAAAAATTACACGATTAATATTAGAAACTACAACAGCGAGCGTCTAATAACCGAGCTTAAACTAAATGCGAGCATGATCGCGTTAAAAATATTTGAAGAACCGCTTGCAACGGCGCGTGCAGCGGAAAAATATTTAATAACCAAAGTGAGCCCAGCGCGCAAATGAAACGCCATTAACGCAAATATTTAATAGTAAAACCAACCGCGATTGCCAAAGGAAATTTATACGAAAGTGGCCGGTAAGTCGAAAGTAAATACTACTTTATCCAGTCGATAAATCAGACTTTACATGAATTCAAGTACTCGAAATAGGAAGTGATCATGGTGATTAATGATTCTTTGCAAAATAGCTACCGGAGAACTTATCAACCCAACACCGTATTGACTCGAGATTACACACCGGAGGATTCTAATGTATGCGGTGGCCAAGATTCCATCTCGCAACCGGCAATTCCGTACAAAAACCACAGCCTCCGCTCCCGTCCCATTTCCTTCTATATACATCCTATTTTTCCGTCGACGTAATCAAATTACAATTCCATCCCCAATGCTCATTGAATACGTCGATAAATCAGCCGCGAGTAATCAATCCACTTTCGCCTACGTCGAATCCTCTTATCTCCAGCCATCGTCAATGGACTTCGTTAGCGGATCGAACAAAGTGAATTGCAATTGAACCGTCGCGATAATAAAGAGAACAGAGACGTCGGGTTATCGGTTTAAAGAATGATCGATATTAGTTACGATTAAGGCGGCGTCACAGTCAGCTTCCAGCTGATCCTTCAGCTTTGTAACGAGATCGGTTATTTATTTATCTGCAACCACCAGGCCTGAATGCCGTGCGGGATTAGAGACGCGAGATCATTATTTATGCTTTAGCCACGGTTACGCGGTCTGAAGCCGGGCTGGACGTCGTGGTTGCTTGAATTAATCATATGTCACTTGCCTGCTGGGCAAGCATTCCTAGCAGTGATTCCTTCGTTTTCGTTCTTTTTTTCCTTATTTTTTCCCTTTTTGAGAAGAAAATCGAGACGATGAAGACTTCCTTGGAACTTGTGAGAGGAGTCTTTATTTGGATGGCGTCACCCTGCATCGGGATCTATGTTTGCTTCAAGGAACCATCAATATTATCAATTTTCGAAGCAGGACTGAGTGATAAGATAGATAAGAACCTGGCCGAAGGGTTCGAGGGAACACCCTCTTTCGACAGTCAACGGTCTGCATCACGCATCGTACAAGAATGCATTACGCATCGCACAAGACTCAAGCCTCCGCACACTTGTACCGCCAGGGAATAAAATATAATCGAAGTTTAAAGTTAAATTTCTATAAATTCGATCCTTTACCACAAACTGCATCTTTTCACTGACCGACCGACCAAGTTGCGAAAGTGTGTTTGGAACTAGGACGCGAGTGAAATTGCTAATTATTCGAGTAATTTAGGTGTGGAAGCTTTATTCGAATGGTGTCACCCTGTATCTGGCTTGGATATTGATAAAAGAAGGAATAAATAGTAGTTGAAGATAAAGGAGGTTCGGTGTGTCGAGGTTTGAAGCAGTTTAGACATTGATGCACGGCTGGTAGGTCAAACTTGCTGTGCCTTGCGAATAAGAATGAAGATTACGGTCACATAGTTGTATCGTGCAAGGAGACTGAATAAAAGATCACTGTGAAACTGTTCTAGAGGTCGAAGGTGTACTTGTTCCATAAAATAGGGAGATTGATTTGTTTGTACCCTTTCCTGTCTGGCATTGTGACACTGCGTGTATCAATCTGTCTGATCAACAATAGATATGTTCTACTGTCACGAAGAAATCATGGTTAAATCTTATTCAAAATGTCCAATTTTTATTCTTGGTTTAGACTTATCTTTGCAATATTTTTGTATATTTGTATATTTAGTTAGAGCTAATTGCATTTAATAATAACTTTGTTATAAACATTCGTGATCAGAATTATATATATATATAATTTCACCCTGATCGGAAACTTTGGATAGCTATTATGTTTGCTTTATATTATAATAAATGTTTAATTAATTTTTCAAGCGAATCTACCCGCGAATTAATAATAATATTTGTGTGATTTTTAAATTTAAAATAATGTTCGATCTTTTTCATAAATTTGTTGTGTCTCTTTAAATTTATAGAACAACTTGTCTCGTGATATGTAACACGTGTTCTGGACTGAACTATTTGGAAAAGCACGCAAAACTCATTGGACAACGCGATAATTGCGATACTCGCGATATACGACCCTTCAATTCATGTTTACACAGAGAAGCAATAGTAGATTGCGAAACTGAAACTAGCCATTAATAACGTTTGGTTTATTATTAAATGACATAAAACTTTCTAGCCACGTGTTCCACGATAAGTTATTCAAATTGAATGTTCCACGCGGAAGATGTTAGTTAGACTTTAGACCAACGTGTTATAATGTTGCAGTTCGTTGAACTAATAAATTAACTACCTAGCATGCAGTTAGATTCGCATTACTTTTTGCGTAATTCTATGTTTTCATCTAAGTTTCATCTGAATTTCATCTAAGTTTATATTCTCCCCACCCAATACTTATTCTTAAAATTTTTACTTAAAAATACTGAAATTAAAATTTGTATTTATTTCAATCTACAATTTCTTCCCATTTTATGATTTGTATAATTATAAATAATGGAATTTGAGTAAAGATAAATTTATACATAAAGATTATCTCTACTATAAATAGTGTTAGAAAATTAAAATACCTAATATCCCATAAAATTATCTATTAATATTCCAAAGCTGATATAATGGTATATAAAAAGTCATATAAAAAAATTATTAAATTGCAAAAATTTATAAATGACCTCTTTGTTTCTTAATTTCAATCAGCAAATGTATGTACATCGTATTTATCTACTTAAATTTTATTATTATTCTATATTATATCATACTTTTATTCTTATCTATACTATTTCATTAATTCCCACGATAATTCCACGTAAAAGCTACCCTTGACGTAAGCCAGTCACCACAATGTTAATCCCAAAATCCCGAACGATTACAATTACAGAATTGAAACAGCATCGCAATTGTTTCGTCGTCTTTGAGCTGAACGACTACAAGTATTATTTCACCGTCTGACACCAGTGACCAAATTGAATTTAAATGTACAGTACCTGTTCGCGATTTATGACTGCGTCATAAAAATTCCTCGTTGAATGCTCTTTCTTTCTTTTTCGTCGCGGTGCCAGCAGCCGTGAAAGTGCCAACCAGGGCTTACGTCGTTTGAATACAATACGATATTCGTCGCGGCGGCATTGCTAATTGCGAAATGCGATCGATCGCGCATCAGCAAACACTAGTCATGCATGACTAGGATCCAGACTGAATAGATGCTGATCACGATACGTGTAGATTTATATATCGTTACCTAGGAATGGATGGAAGACATATTTCCCCTGCATGATCTCATAGCTCGAGAATGAAACGCGAATTATCAACCTGGAACAACGTCAACCAAATATACTATATTGTTTTATCACTCGATAGAGAGTTCTCGCGTGGACGATTAAGGCAACCAGTTTGCGAGAATGGATTCTATCCGTGACAGCAGATGAATTTCCTGATAAATTGATTTAGAAAGTTTCTTGCGGAGGTCCGAAAGAAAGGATGAATTAACACGTTAAGTGCCCAGCTCGTTTTGCTTGCCGTTCCGTTCAGGCCCAGACTTGGCCGCCAAATGGGCCACCGATGGCGGGCGAAGTGTTCATAAAACTCGGAGATACTATACCAATTGTTGTAGCAGGAATTCCCAAACGTTAGGTCCAAAGATGACGAAAAATTGAACACCAAAAGTTAGCACCTATTGGTCCTAGTCTGGCTCGATCCCCGAGGATCGGCTGGGCCCGAAGGGAAAGTCTAGCGCCTTAGAACTCAGGACTTGGAGATCAGAACCCAAGACTGAGAGTTCTTGAAGGATTAATGTCGACTTTAATTTGATATAAACGGAACTCTGTGTCTATTTGTTTTCATTTCTAGTGCACAGTATATTTAAATTAACAGTACCTACGTGTATTATACTTAAGTACCTATATACATATTGTAGGTTGAAAAGTCTATTGGAATTAGAAAACTTAGGCAAAAATTTAATACTAAAATAGTTAGTATTAAAGAACTATTGAAATTTAAGAAGATAGGAAAGTTAGCGTTAAGAAACTATTGGTATTAAATAAACTAATTACCAAAAATTGTACAGAGTATTTGAACGAAATTACTATACATTGCGTGAGTGTTAGATCTAAATCCACACATAATTTATCAACCTATGTAGATAACAAAATGTTGAGAAAAGAAATTTGTAATAATTCATAAACAATGATTTGCAATATAGAAATAAATTTTCTTATTCGTTATTTGTCAGATTATAGTAAAGATAATAAAACCTTGATTGACAACAAACGTGTTAACCTTCTATCTTCTAATATCGCGATAATCTCGGGATAATGAATTCAATTGCTACAAACAACAAAGATTATGTTCGAGATAAATCCTCATTTTAATTTCAAATTTCGTTTCGGTTCGTGAAACTGAAGACTGTTAGAACTGAATATCACATAATACTTCTATAATTTTTGTATCGATTGTTATATTCCGAAAGCAAGAAAAATCATAAAGAAACAAGATCATAAGGCAGGCGATTAAAAGTCAATTGCGATAAAACGAGGTGAAAGATTAATGTGATGTGTTAATCTAAGCTTGTTAAATATTTCTAGGGTGTCGATGCAATCCTATTGGTTCCATATCAACTGCCTGCGACATTGTATCAGGACAGTGTCAGTGTACGCCCCATGTAGCTGGCAGACAGTGCGATCAATGTATGGTGAGTACTTATTACTAGATTGATGGCTTTGCTCAATCAGAGTTGCTGAATGAGAAATTTTGAAGAATGACTGTGATCACCTATAGTAATACAAGGGTTAACTGCTACTAATCAGAATAAGATTTAGTTCAATACATTACTAGTGAAATAATTGATAGAAATAAATTCCATTAGAATTACATAAAATATAAATGCCACGACTATTAATAATATATTAAAAAAAATATATATACAAAATTCTAGGGGTATTATTAATATTTAAAATTGACGGAATTCTGAAGGTATTACTGCTATGTGAAATTTGCAAAATTCTAAAGCTATTACTAATATTTAAAATTTACAAAATTCTAGAGGCATTACTACTATGTGAAATTTGCAAAATTCTAGGGGTATTATTAATATTTAAAATTTACAAAAATCTAAAGGTATTACTACTATATGAAATTTGCAAAATTCTAAAGCTATTACTACTATGTGAAATTTTCAAAATTCTGAAGGTATTATTAATATTTAAAATTTGCAAAATTCTAAAGCTATTACTACTAAGTGAAATTTATAAAATTCCAAGAATATTATTAATATTTAAAATTTACAAAATTCTAAAAATATTATTAATACTTAGAATTTACAAAATTTCTACATTTGCACAGAGTAATACATTTATTTATATTTAGTACGATTTTTCTAATTCTTTATCTTCTTAAGATTGGTTTTTGGGGTCTAACAACGGGAGCAGGATGTGCTCCTTGTGGATGCGATCCTATAGGAGCATACAATTCTTCCTGTCACGATACCTTAGGACAATGCTACTGCAAGCCAGGTGTGGGTGGCACACGTTGCGATAACTGTCTACCTGGGTATTACGGATTTTCTTCGAACGGATGTCAAGGTAGTATTCTATATTCAAATTCTAATCTGCAAAGTACATACGAATTTTTTAAATATTACTATTTTATCTAAATATCTAGAATCACCATACCTATCACAAGAATAGACTTCATATATTTCCTTTTTATTGAATTCAACTGCTTTTGTCAAAATTAACTATTTATTTTCATCATACCACTCCAATTATTATCACTTATACTAACTACACTTAATTATAAAAGCTCGCCAAATTATCAAAACAAGAAATTAAAACCTTATAGAGCCTTTTATTTTAAAAACTAGCACAATTTTCTGCACAAATTTCTATGAAATAAATCGACTCTTATAAGTCATAATCTATCCTAATAAATCACTAAACGAAATTACTAGAAATAATTTAACTTCACTTTTTAAACATCTCCAGATAATTTTCTGAATATTTACAGTTTGCGACCCATGTGTGCGACCAGGTCACATCTGTGATCCTGACACAGGTCGATGCGTGTGCCCAACCTTGACCTTCGGTGAACATTGCGACAGGTGCAGACCAGGTTCCTGGGACCTGGTCCCAGGTGTTGGGTGCAGGCTCTGTGCGTGCACCCTTGGCTCTACGAAGCCTCAGTGCGATCTCCAAGGACAATGTCCTTGTAGAATAGGCTACGATGGACTTAGATGTGAGAGATGCGCCAAAGGGTACTATGGCTACCCTAGGTGTCGACCTTGCAGTTGCAACGTGGCCGGTACCTTGCAATGTAATAACGAAACTTGCAGTTGCAATGACGATGGACAGTGTCCTTGCAAGGTATGTTAATAATATAATTTCATCTAGGAATATTAATTAATATTAAGAAATATTTATTCATTCCTGAAGAACTATATCTGGGTACTATAACTATATTCAGTGAAAATAGGAAAATGAAAATTGAATTTCTAAAATTGGCACTTGAATTAAGATTACATGAGGAATTTCAAGATTAATATTTTTAATATTTTGAGGATCTTCTAGTGTATTAAAATTTACAGACGGAATTTGCACTATGATATAACTGATTTTCATGTTTCCTAATTTTTTAATTTAATTCGTCCTAATTTGTAACAAGCAAAAACCATAGTATTCAAACTGTGGTTTTTAAAACACTATAAATGACTTATTTTAAATTTGCAAAGATTAAATTTGAAATTTTGGTATCTATTCTAACTTGAATAGCTTTTTTTAGGAATATCGTGAGTTAGTTTTTGTTTTGCGATTAATCGTGGGTTTTTCAATTTAGGAACACGTGATTGGAAGACAGTGTAACCAGTGTAAAGAAGGTACGTTCGGTTTAGCGTTGGACAATCCAAAAGGATGCACTGAATGCTTCTGTTTTGGAAGAGCAACTTCTTGTCACCAGGCTGGCCTCAGTTGGGGTCAACGGAGATTAACACGTTCACGAATCCTTTACATCAATGATACCAGCAACGATATAGTAGTAAGCACTGTACCTTTACGTTATTGAAACGATATTAAATCATTGAACTCTTAAAAAATGAAAGAAAAAGATAACGAAAAAATGAATATTTATTTATTGAATATTTTCTTCGTTTGTAGGTTTCGAAATTTAGATCACAAATTTTTTTATCTCCCGCTAATGGCGGATTGAATGTAACCAATGGACTTTCAACGATTCCTGATGTCGAGGGTGATGTCACGATACCATCGCATTTATATTATAATTATCCACTCTATTGGATGCTCCCAGAACCTTTTCTTGGAGATAAGGTAATTCTGAATGTTCAGAAAGAAGTTCAACTATCTAACAAAATTTTAAGATAAATAGAATTCTTTATTTTAAAAATATAGAATCTTTTAATGATGAAGAATTTTTGAAAAATATTTTTCGCAAATCCAGGTCGTATCCTATGGAGGATTTTTAAGATTCACTACCTTAACAGAAGGTGGAATACCTCTAAGATCAACCTTTCAATATCCAATCGTGCAGATACAAGGGAACAATAAAATTGTCTTAGAATACTATTTACCTGTGCTTACGAATAGCAATCATTATGAAGTCAGGTAATATCGAGTTAAAATTATATTAATAATTTTTTAACGAAAATATTTAGCTTGGATATTGAAACAATCTTTCTTTTTCTTTTTAATTTCAGATTTCACGAGTCTTTATGGCAACTGCAAAACAGACCTGATTACAAAGTGACAAGAGAGGTTCTCATGGTTGCGTTGCAAAATTTGCAATATATTCTAATAAAAGCATCTGATAATGCAGAATTTATAAAAACAACGTATGTATAATTTTATTACCTAATTATTTAATTCCAGAACTAAGATATTCTTATTTCATTACCTGTTTCAAAAATATTTATGTATATGTTTTTTATTTGTTTAAATAGTCAGCACTAAAACTACCGATTACAAATGAAAGTCATTCATGAATTTCAATCCTCATTACTATATTGAATTTTAGCTTACTCGAAGCTTCTTTAGACGTTGCTGTTTTAACACCTACACACACACCACAACTTGCGACTGGTGTTGAGATTTGCAAATGTCCCCCAGAATATAACAGTACATCTTGTCAGGATCCAAGTATCGGGTACTACCGATGGCATAAAAACACTACCGTTACATCTATCATTGTTATAAATCTCATTGGAGAAGCCAAACGCTGTCAGTGTAATGGAAGATCAGATATTTGTGATATAGAAACAGGATATTGTTTGGTAAGCTGTTTGACTGTAACTCGACAAATAAAGTTGTATTAAATTTTAAGAGAAAACGTATAACTATCTCTTATCATTCAATGAAATATACCTTAAAATATTTATTTATAATAACGAACACATTAGAAACTAAAATAAAATAAAACTGTATTCAGATAAATAGGAGTAAAATATATAAGGCAATAAGGGAAAATAGACTGTCTATGGTCAGACACAAATTAGACAAGCAATTTACATGTTACCTTGAATTACCTTACACAGACCTTGATCAGAATATGATTCACTCTATTTACAAGATCTTTAGAGACAAGTACAAACTTTCAATTGAGTTAACAATTGCAAAGAAATCTTTTTTCTCTTTAAGCCAAGAAGAATCTATCACGCTATAATAACATACTACTAAAAAATCTATGTGTTGGTATTATATTGAATCTTAACAATTTATCATTTCTGTTACAGAATTGTCGAGGAAATACAGCAGGACCAAGGTGTGATATTTGTGCAGATAGTTTCTATGGTCATCCAGACTATGGCTGTAAACCATGTCCCTGTCCACAAGTGGATAAGAGATTTTCAAACACTTGTGTGGTTCTTGCCAATACTGAACCAATCTGTGTCTGTAAACCTGGTTTGTACCTGCACTGTTATATACTATATTAATTTTTAAATGAATTCCATAGTGTAATGACACTTAATAAAATTTTATACAGTCAATGAATGAAAGAAGCAAAATTTGTGCCAATGTGAAAGATATGAAGATTCTAATCCTATCGCTACCTTAATTACCAAAAATAATTTTTCCGCTTTTTATATTCGCAAGAAAAATATATTTGTAAAGAAAAATGATATTTTTATTTGCACACAGGCTACACTGGCAGAAAGTGCGAGCGATGTACTCCTGGATATTATGGATTTCCGCATCTCCCTGCTGGAAAATGTGTACCATGCGACTGCAATTCTGCTGGAAGTTTGAGCGATGAATGCAACACGGAAACAGGACAATGCAGATGCAGAGCTGGTTCCACGGGTCGTGATTGCTCCCAATGCACTGCGTATCGTCATGTTTATATAAATAACATCTGCACATGTAAGTGAAATTTGCATGAAATATTATTTTATATATAACATTTATTCCGTATTTTCTCTTATGCCATGTTAAATCTCACAAGTAAATAGAAATTAGGAATTTTATATCGAAATTGTTATTGAAATAAGTGACCAAAGTCTAGTATCCTATACTACTCTTTCCAAAAAAGAAAACTAAATAGTATTCCCTAATTAAAAGTTATTATAACTGTTACATGAATATCATTTAATTTATGTAATACCGTTTTATGAGATTGTCTAATAATATGTTAAAAAAGTCCTATAAAAGTTAATGTTTCAAAAAGGTATTTAAATATTAAGAAAGATGTCTTTTTATTTTTGTTAACTGATCGGTATTATCTTTTAATAGCATGCAATGATAATTGTACTGGTATCCTACTCGACACTGTGGCTACACTTTCTCAAGAATTAGCTGAGGGTACTAGTCATATAATCAATGGTTACATTCCTCCCCCATGGGAAGATTTATCTTACATCGAGTCCAATGCGAGCACGTTCTTGGGCGAAATAAATCTTCAGAATAAATTGAAGCAAAGAATGAAAAATGTTCCCTGGCACGAGTACAGAAAGCTCATGAAACACGTTGAGATGTTACTAAGAACTGTACGTGTTTAATTTTCATGAAATATAGATACTAACATACGTCAAAATTAAATATTAAAATTCTCACAGTTCTAACGATATTAAAAAATCTTTAGATAAAGAAATTAGCTAATATTTGAAATTTGAAGAATACATTTATTTTTGCCTAATACGATAATTAAAGATATATTGATATTAATCTTTTAGGCGAATGAACGCGCTAAACGTGGAGATACCATGACATCAAAGACTTATGATTTAAAGAATAATATATTTAGCGCGAAAATCGAAATTGACAATTTGGATCAATATATAGAAGGTACTTGTCTTAAACAAACCTCAAACTTTATATTTTTACACAAATTGATCATATGATAATTTTCACCTTTTTAGATACAATTTCGCTATTGAACCAATATAGTAATGACAATAAAAGGATAGAAATCAAGAAAGCACTAAAAATCGCAAAAATGATTTTGAATGGTTTAAAGGCCATAAATTTAACAAAGAAGACAATGGAAATAGAAAGTTTCCTCGAGTTAGTATTTAAATAAACCTCAACCCATAAGTATTGTATTAATTGCTACAGCTTAATTCCATTCGAAATAAGTATTGTGCATATTTTTTAAATTGTATTTTACAAACTTCTTGAAATTTGAATTTCATTAAATTATAATTACCGGAACTAATAGATATTTATTTAAAATTTGTGAAAAACAACAGCGATGTCGCAGAATATACTGATTGGTTGAATTCCTTGTACGATGCAACGGAACCATTAGCGATTGCTCAAGACGATGTTGAAGAATATTCTATAAAACTAAATGACATGAGAAACATCATAGAAGACACCATGGAAACGCTATTCACGTATGATGGTTCATACAACAATATTAATAAAACGCTTTTGGAAGCTAGAAATAGCTGCAACGAGATCAAGATGATACGCAGCACTATTAATGCATCCCTTACAGAAGGTGAAAAGTTGACGAATGAAACGCATGATTTCATCACAGATTTCCAAAATAACGCTCTAGTACGTATGAGTGAAATGAATTAAACTATCGACAATTTTATAAAAATTTTAATAAAACTTAAAATTAGTTGTTAATTAAAATCTGTAATTTTTTAAATAATTGCATCGATTGTCATGATTTTCTTTAGACAATCTTTTAAAATAATTTGGAAGGAGATAAAACTAAATAAAAAATGAAAATTTTTCACTACAATTTTTATTTGATATTTTGCACTATGTATATGTAAAAATATGTAATATCTTAGTTATTAGTACTAGATACAAGTAAAAATAATAGTATCTTCTACCTGTCGAGCAATACCTCAAAAGAAGATGTATTAAATTACAGGATCTTCCGGAATTGCGAAACAAATTAACATACTGGTTTGATAAATTGAGTATGAAAGAGGAACTGCTGTATAGATTAAATTACGAATATAACGACACGTACGTGATACCCGCGGTTACACACGTGAGGAATTTATCAAACTACGTTGATCAGTATGTCAGGTAAGGGGAATTTATTTACTTTTATTCTTATAACTTTACTTCATATTATTTTATAGTAATATTTATTAATATTTAAATAGTCAAGCAATAATATTACCATATATTAAATAAAAGAATATAACTTAATAAGTATTATTAATATTTAATATTAATATTTATGAACATTAATTACTGTTACAATTGTTACAACAAGAAATACAAATTATTAAAGAGGATAAACAGAACTACCATTAAATTATTTAATATTTCTTAAGTATCCTTATATACTTGACTATTTAAGAAAGTAATTCAAACAAATTTTCGCACTGGTCCTGTAAATTTAATAGCACAATATAAACTCCATAGTTATTGTAAAAATCAATACGTAACTCTAAACTGAAATTAAAATGTAATAACTGAGAACTGAGAATGAGAAGTACATAAAGTTTGAGCTTAAGAACAAAAATGATAGCGCATAAAAATTATGACAGACAGTTCCAGCTGCGAATTAATTATCGTTATTTACTTGTACGCTATTACTTTATGTAATTGACGATCGATAACTTGATAAAGTGCAACTTGGCGTTTCTGCCGAGCAGTCTGTTTTCCGAAACAAGAAACATCGCAGCTAGCCCACTGAAGGCCAGTCAGGCATACAAGAATATCGTCGATAGCATAAGAACTGCGAATATCACAGCAATGGAAGCTAAAGATATTGCTGACGAGATGTACAATATGGTAAGAAATAAATATGACAATGGAAATCTTAAAGATGACTATTTTCATAATTACATGTATTTTTCTAGACATATCCTGATGGTCCTCAATCAAAGTCACTCTTGGACAACGCTAATGAAATATCTCTAGCATCATCCAAACAGAAAGACACTGCAAAGAACCATGGAAAGCTAGTAGAAGATGCGAGTGATGAATTGGAATCTCAAAAGGAAGTTGTGAATACTTTGAAAAATACTCTGAACAAGACTGGAATCAAAGATAACGAGATCAATGTAAAATTGCAAATTTTGCAAAATAATAGTGAGAAATGTGAGTCTATTTTATACTATTTTGTTCTTCCACAAAAAAAAATAAACATATAACTTTAATGAAAATACCTCTCTGTTGTAGCTATCATAATATTTTGGGCTTTCAATGCACTGTTGCATTTCTTTTTTAAATAAAAAAATTATAAAAATAAATTATATGCTTATTGTAGTCACCATTAAAATATTTATATATTGTTTTCAGTACATGAACAAGCAAAAAATATATTGGACGAAAATGAGAAGATATTAGAAACTGTTAAGACCACGCAGAAATTAATTGAAGATTACAAGGAAGGAATTGTTGATAGATTGAAACCAAAATTGCACGAATTAAAAAGAGAAGGCGATTCAAAGATTAGCTTAGCCAATGAGAAAAGTAAGAATTATTATACTTTTTATTATCCTATATATTTCTTCATGCCTAAGTAATCATACTTTTATTCACAAAAAAAAAAATTATTTTAGTGTCAGAAGCACTTAGCAATATAAAGAAAGCAGATGCGAAATTAATAAGTCTATCGAATGCCGCCGTGAAAAGAAAAAACGTATTTGACAAATGGAATGATACGTTGGCTATAAAGTTACAGAACTTGAAAGACAAAATTGCTGAAGCCAGAAACACTGCTGATGGAGTAAATACAATATTATAATTTTAACGATATTTTCTTTCGTTTGGTGTTATAATCGAGCATATGTTTAAATAAAATTCTTTTCCTTAGATTCGCGTTTCTTTGAAATCAGCAGAAGGAAAAGAATGTAGTAGATCCTACAGACCATCAACATTACAGCCAACATCAACAAACACTATTGTGATGACCTTTGCTCTTCCAAAAGGGAAGAAAGAAGGTTCTCTATTCTATTTGCCAAGTAGTATAAATGTAAGTATACTACTCGAATTAAGTATACCACTCGCAGTGTTTTAAAATACCAAATCAGAAAAATAATTTGTAATATTTCTGTTTGACTCACAGGATGATTTCATTGCTCTGGAGATCATTGATAGGAGAGTAAGGTTCGTGTGGAATGTTGGAGGAGGTACGGGAATCCTTACACATCCGGAAGTGATACAGAACGGCAATCTTCAGGATGACAGGTTCTGGTATCGCGTCGAAGCTGAAAGGTATCATTTTATTTCATAACTTAAAAATAATACGAATAGTATAAAAATGAAATAAGATCAATATCGAGGTAATTTTTAAACTTACGTTAATGTCTCGTCCCTGAAGAATACGAAAAAAGGAAAAAATAAGTCTCCAGTTCAGAATTTCAAAACTAGAAAAAGAAAAAAATTAGGATATAATATTATTCTTTAATTATTATAATTAGTAGACATTTTTTATCAATGAAAATATTTTTGTTGGCTCAATAAAACTTTCGCCAATTAGTCTGTGTTTTATCTATTATTTATACTACATGTAACAGATGTAATGAACATTTTGTGAAGAACTGAAACAATTTTCAGAGTACGTCACTTAGGTAAACTGCATGTACGAAAGCAAGCATCAACAACTAAAGGACATCCACCCGTGAGAAATTCAACAGACTCTGAGTATGGCCGTTTCGACATTACCACCACAGATCGTGTATGGATAGGAAAAATTCCCAGATCAGAACGAAGAAGAACCGAACTTATCGCGTCTAATGGACTTCCAGGATGTGTACACCAAGTCATCCTGGATGGAAAACCTATTGGCCTTTGGAATTTCATTACAACTGCACCGGATATGGCTTGCGAAGCCTGCGTAGAAGGGTAATGGCGAAAAGTTCCCTTCAACTTTTAATGCTATAATAATGAATATCCATTTTCAATTTATATATTCTATTCTAATGTTATAGAGTGGAAGATGCTAAAGATGACAATTACAACTTCAATGGAGAAGGATATGCAGTCAGAAACCGAGTTTCTTCAGCACCATATAATAAATATTCATTTGGGGTATCGATCAGCTTCCGAACATATGACGAAAATGCTCTGCTATTTCTGGCTATTAACCCAGAAAATGTATGCAATATTCATGTGTTCTTCTGTACAAATATTTTAAGACAACTTTGATTTTTCTATTAATTTTACATATAACGTTAGATTCATATTTTAATTAATACATTTTATTTCTACGTATAATAGAATCAGCACATCATGATATTCCTGAGAGAAGGAAAAGTGATTCTGCACATCGGTTACGGTGGTAATGTTAGCATGGATATGTCCTCGAACTTCAAGTACAATACTGGAAACTGGACAAAGGTGGATGCATCTAGGCACTATCAGCAACGCAAAAATATTGAGAAATGTAGTTTAAGTATTGGAGGAGGAAATGATAACAGAATTGGTGCACCTACACCTCAGCCTAAGAAAGAGGACATACCTGATTTCCTCCAGGCTAAATATTATATCGGTGGCGTGCCACCGAGTTTCCGTACAGACAAATTAATGTTACCCTCACAAGTGTCTTTCCTTGGTTGTATGTCTAATATCATGCTTGAAGAAGGCTATGATCCAATGGCAGAACAGTATTATGGCGTCGAGCCTACTTGTGGAAATAAGGTACACAGATGAAAATTATGAAAAGATATTAGATTAGATTTTACAAAACTGAAATATTCAATATATAAGCCAAGAGTAATTTTTATGAGAAATTATATTGATAAGTCTGTTTAAATTGATAAATTTTTACTTTTGCAGCCATTAAGGATAGTAGGATTTTACGGAGATGGATATTTGCAACATTCAGCATATACACTGCGTAAAATAAATTCTACAGTGAGTTTCTCCTTTAGAACAATGCAAGTGGAGACTGTACTTTTCCTTTCTACCTTCGAAGGACAAGAAGAACGTATGCCTATTATACGACACATGAACGATGAGTCGAATGTAAGAACCAGTGTTCTCCTTTTATATTCAAATTAATTTAAACCAAACAAATATTTATTATAATTGTATTATAACCGAATAGGAACGTAATTTAATATAATATTGATCAATTTATCTTCAGTAGTTTACAATAGTAAATGTTTAAAAAAAATTTTTGATTACTAAAATTATTCTAAATTTTTATTAATATTTTATTTAATATTCTGTGCCGAATAATTAATTTCATATAATACAATTATAATTTGAAATTATAATAGAATGTAATAAATGAAATCATTAACTTACAATTCAATTTATTCTTTCAGAAAAGGAGCTATTATTCTGTATGCATAATCAATGGACAAGTACAAGTACGTTTGAACGCTGGAAGAGGAGAGCTCGTTTTACAATCGAATGAGACTTTCAATGACGGAAGATATCATTCAGTAACAATAATCAAAAGGCGAAAAGAAGTCGAATTACGAATAGACGATGCCTATCAAAGCGCAGGTAAACTACCTACCAGCGCTGCTATCAGAGCTCCTGAGGGAAGTGGAGGACTGTTCTTTGGAGGTTTACCAGTACTTATTAACAATACTAACATGATTTCGACCACTACCCCTTTATATGGTGCCATTAAAGATGCGATATTTAATGATGAGTAAGTTTTTTCTAAGCTACACTTTATACTTTCAGAAATACAAACATTAAAAAATGGTACTTTTCATAAATAAAATTTTCAGTTGTTATATCCAGTAAGCTAACTTAAAAGTATGTATTTTCTTTTCGATTTTTCTTATCTTTAGAATTATCCGATTCGATGAAGCTATTAATTTCGAGCATGCATTGATTGGTCGTTCTGGACCAAGCATGGGAAGAGATCCTCCTACCTATACACCATCAGCGTCGTTATCCAGGGGAATGTCTACTCAACCCGAAGGATGCCAAAAAGTGCCATATTATTCTCTGGAAGCTGGTGCTCTAAAATTCGGAGACAAACCAAATAGTCATACACAACTTTATTTAAACTTCAAAAAATTTTGGGAGAAGAAATACGCGATAGAATTTGATTTCAGGACATATTATCCGAATGGCTTACTGTTTATTACTCCAGTATGTAATAATTTCTTAGAAACTGAAAAAAAATTTTTAATTTCGTCGATATTTATGTACTAGAAAATCTTTGAAAATTTGTGTATTTTTTAATATTTTAAAAATACACATCATAAATGATATCTTACATTTCTGGTACAGTGTTATTACAATATTTCTGATTAAAATACTTTCTTTACTTTATAGGGCCTTAGACCAAAACACTACCTCATGGTCGTCATACGAGATGGACAGCTTTTACTTTTAGTGAAAAGCAAGCAAAAGAAAGAGTTATTATTTAAAACTCCGTTTAATGATGGTAACTGGCATCATGTAGTGATCAGTCATGAAGAAAGAAAATTAACGTTGCTTGTGGATTCTCAAACACCACGCACAATTAAAGTGCCAAGAAAGATTGGACTAGCCTCTATGATGTATATTGGAGGCTTACCTGAGAGTGGGACTCCGATTCCTGAACAAGTTGTAGTTAAACTTGAGACTCTAAAAGGGTGTATCAGAGGATTGAGGATTAATGGGAACGTATATGATATGGTTGGTTCTACTAGCAGAGCCTATCAAGTGGGTCAATGTTTCCCAAATGTAGAAAGTGGAGCTTATTTCCAGGATGAAGCATATGCTATATATAGTAAGCAAATAATAAACTTAAATGAATTATTTTTTAATCTATACTAATTTGTGGAACATGCAAAAATGAGATTTCATTAAAAAAGAAGATTGATGATTGGCTAAATACTTATATAAAAGTACCACTGTATAAGCAATCATAATAAAAAGTTTAATAAAGTAAGGAATTAAATTTTTCTTTTTTGCAGAAAGGAACTTTGAATTAGGTGCTGTATTGGAGCTTCAGTTGGAATTTAGAACATCAGAATTGTCGGGTGTTTTGCTTTCGATAACAGCACCCGGTAATTCACCTTCATTATCATTGGAGTTGAATAATGGTAAAGTGATCATGTCAGGCGATTTGGGAGATAACAAACCGTTGTATGTAGAACAACGTTTTACTAGTCCATACACGATTTGTGACAATCGATGGCACAGAATACAAGCAGTTTATAATGACGAAGAGTTGGCATTAAAAGTCGACGAGATGGATCAAAAGTATGGCCTTCCAGCTAACGTTAATTATCATATAATGGATTCTACAGTCTCTGGACCTCTATACATTGGTGGTTTACCAGGTAAGGAATGTTTATGAATAATTTTCTTCCTTATTAGTTTTTATTAAAACTTCATACCATATTATGGTATCTTTAGCAAAAGCTCATTGATGAATTTAATATATTTTATAATGATTCATCTATTATGAAATAAGAATTATTATAACATAAGAAAAATATAGATTTCTAAATACAAATGAATAATTTTGCAGCCTCTGCTCCAAAAGGTACATTAATAACAAGAGATCATTTCAATGGGTGTATAAGAAACGTAATGATAGGGGGAGAGAGACGAGATTGGACAGACATGGATGAATTGCATAATATTCACTTGAGCTCCTGCCCAGTACAATGATAATCAGTACAATGTGTGAACTCCTCTGAGTCATTCAATTTAGTTCCAAAGACTGTTCAAAGGACACACAATGCTCGAAAGGTTTCTATGAACTGTGTTCAATGCAATTTCACACCGGGATCAAGTGCCATATCATGATGGGAAATTCTTTAATCATTAAGACATAAGATTAAACGAAGCCAAGAGATGCTAACATGCAAATGCATGAAGTTTACATTGATGTTTCTCAAACTTGTTTTTACTGTTATAAAATTCTATGGTAACAAATACATATAAAATATTAATTAAAATTCTTTGTACTTTTTATATGTATTCAATGATAAGTTTATATTTATATTAAAAATAAGTTGAGGGAAAATTACATGCTATGAACACAATGTAAAAAGAATAAGTTAATATTTACAATTTGTACATAACAAATTTTACATTTACTTATTCTTACATCAAATTTTTGAAATAAATTTTTACTGCAAAAAAATGAAGAATTTTCTCAACATGTACTAAAACATTTGATTTAGACTACAGTTCGATGTTAAAGTATTAATTGGTTATTTAAACAACCATTTTGATGTTAATGAATAAAGAAACAAAAAAATTAATGAAAAAATGAAAAGTTCATTGAATTCGTTATTCTATGAAAGTAAATCGATTGACATTATTTCAAAAATTTATGAATTATCTATCTAACTACTATTATATCTTAAAAAATACTTAGAAAAAGTTATTACGTATCTTATAAAACAATACTATGATGTAGAAGCGATTCGTTACACTCATATTGCCATTCCAATAGGTATTTTCATAATAATATTCACAATACTTTGATGATACAAATAACGAATGAAAAGTATCATCCTCCCGCGCTTTCACATGAATCTTTATACGCAATAACTACCGCGCCTATCAAAGTTTAAATTAAAAACAAATGAATATAAAAAGATAGCTAGTTTATTCACACTTATAATTCTCAAAATAAATTATCATTAATTTATGTTAATTATAAAACTGAAAATTTTTTAATTTAATATCAAAATATAAAAAATTCAACATACTACGTAGTAAAAATTTAAAGGGTTATTCGCCATTGAAATGTTTTGAATATTAAATAGTTAATATTTCACAATGGTTTTAGAAAACATAGTTTGAGAAACGATTTTTGAAGCATTAACAAATTATGGCACAAATTCGCGTCGAATTGTATCATAGACCCGATATACAAAACAAACGTCACGACATGCGTATAAGTAGCAAGATCACTGCCATATAGTTTAATTGTAATTCATTTGTAAGTCATGAAACAATTGTACATCAGTATTTAAAGCTATTTATTATCGTTAATATAAGTGTAACCAGCGATTTCGATCGAGAGCGCGGCATACAGCATGAAAAGTGCTCGATCGAAACCGTATATTTTTTAAAAAGAAAAGGATAAGAAAAAGTGAAATGAAATTATTTTGTACTGTTGTAGCGGTAGTAAGGTATTGAATTTTAATATTTAATATGATTAGAAGCGAAAGAAAAGTCATATTTAGCGCCCTGTAATAAAGTGTCCTTAACGAATTAAATATAGTATATATATAGGGAGAAATGTTCTTCACAAGGATATTTTAATATTTATGTCTAGTATTTTTCTTATTCGTTGAATTGTAATATATTATACATATGCAGAAAAATTAACAATGACGCCTCCGCTATTGTGTATAAAATATATAACAATGAGAAAGTATGGTCATCTAATTCACCCTCTTCTGTACTCCAAAAGTTATATATACATTTACATTACACAACCAATTAAGACAAAGAAGACACACTTAGTTTCGTAATATATATATATATCATTCACAGAAGAATAAAAGTCTATTGCAATGTGGGTTATTAAATTTTATTGATGACATTCGCTGCAAGATGCTAACAGTAAAATATGACCCAAATTTTTACTTGACGTACTCAATAAATATATATCATCGAGTAGTTTCATTTATGCGTATATAAAAACATAATATTTACAGACATGGATAAATCGAACAAGTATGATTCGACAAAGTTTTCAGTTTTCATTTCTTTCATTTGTGACAATAAAAATGAAGGATTATTACATAAAGGTAATCGTTTATTATTAATAAGCGCGATTATTTATATCCCATTTTTTCGTATCTCTGTGTTTTCGTTTCATTGTTTATCACGCCGGTTACCAACAGCTCACTAATAATATTTCTCTGCTTCGAAAAATATAAATATCAAGCACAAGCAATCACCCTTCCTTGCTACAGTTACACATCCTTTTTTCAAACGTTCTCTTACTGTTTGTAGCTTTTCCTCTATTATATTTTCAATCCCTTCTCCACAAGCCGATGTTCTTCCGTTGATTCTTAAGATTAGTGACTATTATAGTGTTAATCGTAAATCTTCATTCACTGTTCGTTCACATTGTTATCATAGACTTCTTTTTCGCGATTTGCGCTTTCAAATCTTATTATTCATTTTACGGCGTTTATTTATTTTCGCGTTCAATATTGTCAGGTCGGACTATTTTCGGAGTCTGAAGCTCGCAAAAATTTCTCTATTCATCATTGACGATATACGCAATAGATTTACAATAGACAAGAATAAAATATAATGAACTTCTTTGGGTACTACGATCGACGGATTTTTTTCTCTTTTTAAGTGAAATTTTTTTCCAAGTCCCTCCATTACATGAGTTTTCACAGACGAGGCTGAATAAAAATAATCTCAGGACGATTAAACCAAGTGTATCGTTGCGAATTAAAAATATATTTTTCGCGATTAATCGTGAAGAACATGAAATTCGATATGTTGCATAATTACTTAAGAATAATCAATACGGTCGTGTTCTGTTATGCCATTGTAGAATATTGGGGGGTCTATTATTCCAGTGAACCGATCTGCATTTTATCTTTCTCTGGCCTTTTCTGCCTTGTTTCTTATAACGTTATCGTTTCAAATCTCATGCACATGCCCGACAAATTAAAAAAATACATTATACAAAATTAAAGAAACAAAAAATTTATGAAAACTACAATATACAGTCTAAACATAACTTAAATAGAGAACGCGGAAACAAAAGGAAAATTCTGTAACAGTTAGACCCTCCATATTTCTGTACAAAATTGTATTTTACTTCTATCTAGTTTCTATTCATTTGTTCTATCGGCATAATATGAAAAACGAATTGTATACATGATAAAAGAATTAAATCGTCAAGATGGAAGGTCAGTGCCAATCCCACACGAACGACGGACAGTTACAATTTATGGCACAATAAATAGTTCTTTCGTTATTACATTATTATGCTAATTATCCATCATGTACAATACGAGAACCGCATGTTTCGTTTCGCTAGAAATTGGACTGACGCGTTCCATTAGGAAATGAGAACCATACTAAAAAAAAGAGAAAAATAAAAAAAGAACGATTGCCATCCGAAGAAAAAGGATCCATATACTGTTGATACAATTTTTAAGGGGCATCATCCAACTTATAAACGGGTTAAACATTAGTCCGTTTCGTTAAAATTTGCAACAATATACTAAGATGTTTATAAATAAATCATTAACATTATTTTCAGGGTCTCTTTTCTCGGTCATGAGGAACGCAGACTATAAACGTTGAATTAGAAATATTTAGGCCTAGAACATTCAAATAAGTTATTTAATTAAAGCAAAGATAACTTTGAATATAGATAAATTTTTGTTATTTTAATGCTTCTACATTCCAACCATCTTCTGCTTTCCTCTTACAATATTCGAAACGATTACAAGATTTCAAACCATTCGATACATCATAAAGAATAAGTATGTACTGCGCGCAGGAAAAAGAAAAGAGTAATTCGATCAAAGATTTCATCACTTCGTGGCCGTTCTTATGTCCAGACACTTTTTATCAGTCACCAAAATTATTACTGTTCTTTTAAGAAACAAATTTTTACTTTTGGTACTGTTTGGTACGGTCTCATTCTCTCCCATCTCAAATCCTTACAAGTTTATAATCTTATACCGATACACACTGCACAAAACTCTCTTCAAGATATTCAAATCAACGAGGCATTCTATAAATTATAATCAATGGTACCTACACTGTAAAGGAAAACCATCCTCGCACATCAATTACATCCAGATCGATCTTAAGGCTGATTTGGTATTTTCTTTCACTAATCAGAATCAACTTATATATTTACAAATCCACATTATTTTTTTTTCTTTTTATTTGTCCGTGAGCTGGTTTTCTCAACACTTTTCAACGAACGAATTACATTATCTACGTACGCTGCTGCAACCGTCAACAGCTGCAAAAATCTCATGGTTAACGAGGAATCATTAATTCGCCTTCGGCAATGATGTACACGATAAAAAGAAAGTTTTAAGACAATTACAACGATTGTACGAAACAATGTTGAGCCTCGAATCATTTGGTAAAAATATTAAACAATCTACAGTTCTAAAAGTTAAATTTTCGTGCAAGACAAGCGTTTCATTAATTTCCTCCTTATTTCTTGGTTGGTTTTGTTAAATATTAGTTAATCAAATAGAAAAATTACATTGGAGAACTCGAATCTTTTTATAGACTCTGTCAAAAATATGTTTGAAATTAATGATCCTCTATTTGCGTTTAGTAATTCGTAAAATTCAATGGTACTACGATAATAATAATTATAATAATAATTAAGAGCAGTTTTAATTTACGCGTAACGGGGAAATATGTGCGAATTACTTTATGTAATATAAAAACGAAACGTTCGTTACGTGACATTTATGAAAGCCCTGCCTCTCTCTCAGCGAAAAAGAAGAAGATTATAAGAAAAATTAATTAATACCTTTTACATCAGTCACAACTTTCATTTACAACACAGCAGCTTACACGATTACAAGGCGGTTACACGTCGGAAGTTAGTCCGCAAAGATATTAGATACTGACAACAAACCATTCCTATTAATAAGATATTGGTAAACTTACGACACAGTGATTGATGCCAACGTTAACTTAAAAAGAAAACAAAAAACAGAACGGAAAAAGAATACAAGAAGAAAAATGGAACGAATTATAAAAAAGAAAACGTATACGTGGTAACATTGCGCCGTTCAATGTGGCATGCAATC